TTACATGCTTATTTTTCGCTGAAATTGAATCCGTTAATCACAAAACATATTTGAAATGGAACAGATTCGTTATACATAAACGAACAAAATATAATAAATGACTCTAATTTGAGGTGGCAGAAAAATTTAATATTAACGTTAAAACTGAGACAATTTTTTGCATTTATCAAAAATTTAGTTTTCAGAATGATTCTTGAAAAATAGCTGTTTAATGTCTGATATAACTGAAACTTAAGCTTTATGAATCAATACAGAATTTTAAACACTATTCATGCATATGTTAATCAGAAGAAATCAGACACGTATAGAGAATTGAACATTTTTTGAGGAAGAGCAAAAAACTTTAGAAAAAAATGACTCCGAGTTTCCAGAGATTTACACTACAGTGACAATATTTTAAGTGAATGACTTTATTTTTTCTGTCACTGTTAAAAAACATGTTCCCGTAGTTTATGTTATAGCCAATGCATTGAAAAATTTTTCTATAAAGCATTACTTTTGAAATGAATGCTGATCAGTAATTTGCACGCACTGCAGAAAAAGAACCTGTTTATCTTTCTGATCACTAATAAACGACATTTAATATTTTCAATTAATAGTCTAGACAATTGTCGTTTGATTTTAAATTTCTATCATGGATATATGCCTTTTTATTTAGTGCATATGAAAAGTTTTACTAATAAACAATTGAAGTTATTGAGAAAATTCACAAATTGTCTGAGATTTCAAATCTAAGTATATATACGTGTTAACACAATGTTTTGAGATCGAATATTCTTACAATCACTAACAACTAGAAGTAAATAGAGAAAACGCAACAAAAACTTCAAATAAGAAAAGAAAAGCAGCATTAGCAGCTATTAAAATTTATCTAAACTAACAGCAAACCAATGTTTCATAAGGAATTCATGACGATATTTTTTCCATGATTATACTCGATAAATAGTTTAGGTAGCAAAAGGAGGTGTAACAGATTTAGAAAGTGATATACCTCTTTTGTCTTTAATAGTCTTAAATTAGTTTCTATGAAGAAGAAAATACAACAAAAATCGTACCGATGGTAGTTGCGAACAAGATGGAAATAAATAAGATTTGAATATGAAAATGTAATAATTTATATTCTTCTGTTGTTTGTGTCTATGTGTGGATTGCACATAATAGAATAGTTCACACATATTTGATAAAAAACATTTTGTAGTTCAAAGAGTCTTTAAATCACAAAAATAAAAATAAATAATAACTCTTTTTACCATAAACTACTGACTTTTTGTTGTCAAATAGAATAAGTTCGGATGCTCACATTTTCTCATCAAATACTCTCAATAGTATACATTTTATGAACTGGTTTCATTTACTTTTATTAATGAAACAATTTTTTAATCTTTTTGATAATTTAAAACAATTTTATGATTTTGTCTTTAATTTCGTGACTTATCAAACGTTTGTAAAAGTCATCTATTTACACATAGGATCGGTTACAATCTATGCAATGATGCATCCTATTTTTATAGAGAAAATATTTTCCTATTTTATTCTGAACAATATATTAGACGTCATCCTTATTGATCAAACTAGAAAAATATTGTCATTTAGTCTAAAACATATATTTAACTAAAAACTCATGATGACGGATTATTTTTATATGCCACACCTAATTTTCTGCACGATTGAATTTTCTCAGTAGAAATTTGACATTTGGAACAATTTAGAAAAATGTCCATGGTAAAAGTTTATATAAATTTTCATGACAGTGAGAAAATGAAATAATCATACTCATCAATGTATTTTATTTGTTCTTTTTTTAGTATTTTGGTCAATATTATAGTCTCTATAGAGTAATGAAAAAAAAAGAAATATTTTCTACTTATGCACAAAGAAATCATTGCTATGTCACGATGAATCTACAGTCTTTTTCATCTTGAATTTCTCTCATATAATTCGATTCTTTATGAAATAAAAAAAAAGAGAGATATTTGATTTTAGCGATACAGAATGAATATTAAAGATTTTCAGCTATTTTAGATGAGTGAAGTTATAGTAGATAGACAGTTTGATATATGTATTAAATTATTGTCGATATTTAATATTTGATATGCTTGCCGTTTTCGCAAAATTGCATGTTTTGCCAATTGCAAGAATGCATATATTGTATTTAAGAGATATTTCACAGAGGTTTATTCTGATGAAAAAATCTTGAAATACAAACCACAGGTCGGAAGAACGCTTCATTCACGTTTTAAGTATGCCTTAGTGGAAAAAAAGTATTATTATTATTTACGTGTAATATTGTAGGATAGAAATTTTGAGGTTGAAGGAGATATCTTTATTCGATTGTATTCATATAAGAAATTTTCAAAAAGTAAAGAATATGGTCAACAGCAACGCAAAATGTCAGAACAAGAGATAGTATTTTCCAAAAGTTCAGAAAGGTGTGGATCAACATATTAGCATTCTGAGACAGTTGATATCAAGTAGACGTAATGGAAATATCTCTGCAAAAACAATTTACCACTTTCGACCAATTTTTACATAAAAGTCAAACTTCGAAACAAGTTCATGAATTTATAATTGAACTTAAAAGATATATATTCAGGTCACAAAGTTTCTCAATCTTTTTCACTGTCGAAGATGACAGAGATTTTTTTTGCAATAGAAAGCGTTACTCATTGAATAAATCATCGAGTCAATTCAACCTTTGCCACAGGATCCTTAACCCTTTTTAAATTTTGGTTATTATCGATGAGGATTAAAAAAAACTGATGTCATCACTTGAGAAAGTGAACTGTATAATTCTGAACTCCGTTACCTAGACAGCGCTAGATAATTTGAAAAATTCTTCATTCACCGCAAAAAGTAAAGATGTAGATCTGAGCGGTATCACTTTAGGTGTGAGTAGAAAGAATGAAGAGCAGATCCTTGCTATCGCACATACTCATACCCACGCGTGGTCGCCGCCAGATGAGTTAGATAGATTAATCTAAAATATAATTTTTTTTGCTTTATGGTATCTGATAACCATATCTTTCGTTTGCCGCTCGCGCTGCTATTATGAAACTTCATTCAACCTATTGACAAAGATATTCATTTTTTTTGAATCCTTATGCGTTTATGGTTTCAAGCGTTCAGTAGAAGTATAGCTAACAAAATTTGGTGCTGTAGACGACGCTATATAGTGGCAGTAGTTTAGCTTTGGCAGCATAGACGGTAAATATTAATGGTTTTTATGTTGATATGTGGGAACAACACTTGGATGAGTTTTTTATTCTAATTTTGGTGACTTTGCATAAGATTTTTGTTCACTATGCAGATGGAAAATACACGCTCTATAGACAGTAATAATATCAAAATTGAGAAGTACACAACTATTGAACGTGTACACATTTTTCAGAGCGTTATGAACGAGTATAATCATAGCAAAGACCAGAAATGTTTGTTCCATATCTTGCGTTAGACATTGGAAGATATCTTGAGACTTGGTTGAAAAACAAAATTTTGCATCAAACATCGTGGCAACTGCCTCGAACGTTTGATGTAGATAGATACACGAAATGACTTTTCATGAATAGAAGTTTCTGGTCGCAAGTTCTTTTGAGCATCCCTAAATGTCTTCCTAACAACTGCTAGTCGATCAAATTAATAGTCACTAGATATGAATACTCACTATTATTAAGAATAGAATATAAAACAAAATAAATAAGTGTTTATTTGTTTATTTACAATTTAAATTTTTCTTATTCAGTATTTTCGTGAATCTCATTTGTTTAAGATTAACCAAATACTGTATAAAGGGTGTAGATAGGTGTGATCGTGGATTCGGATGTGGATGGGTGTGATCGTGGATCTGGGTGTGGATGGGTGTGATGGGTGTAAATGTGGATGAGCATGGATGTAGGTGGAGGGTGAGTGTGGCTTGAATGTAGATGTAGGTGTAGGCGGATGCGAGTGGGTGTGTTTTCTTGATTCATACGTTCGTTCACACGGACACTCATTCCCACACCTCCATCTACACCCTATTTCTTCTCATTCTGTTCTCTGCTATGTCCTTTATGGCAGGTATCGATGGTTAGAAATGACGTGTTTGATATCGTCACTCATAGAAAGGAAAGAAGCAAGGTCATGTTTACAAAGGCACTATTGCTCTCTTCCTTTTTTCTTCATCCTTGAGCAACATTAAAAATGAGTCATGCCAGTGATAGAATGCGGAGAGTCATTCTTACTCACTTAAATAATTGCCAACTCATTGAATCGTTGTATGAATGCATTTAAATATTTGCGTTGCTCTCGTGCACATCGACGGTGAGGATATTTATCGTCGCAATTACATCAATGCCGCTTTAGCTTTTTCAAAGAAACAAGGTTTCTGAACGAAATTCCAATCTTCCATAGAAATTTTGTATTGAAACTCTCAGCCGTAATGTGCACAAAATATTATTCATTACTTCTTGTCGATATTTAAAAGGTGAATGGTCGTCATCTAAAGTGTAAGAACTTTGTTAAAATAAAATTTTATCCAGGAGTTACTGATACAGTTAATAGTGGCACAACATTTTTGATTTGATAAACTATGTGTCAAAGAGGTTTATGATGTTTTCAATTACTGCTGAAGACAAAAGACTTTGTTGTGAAGCATCATGGAAAATGTTAATAATATCAATTCTCCTTTTCAGCTTGGCATATTTCTACTATTGGTGTCGTCACTATGCTCTGTGGATGGCTGTTCGTGGGCCTTTGAAAAAATAAAAGAAAAACAAATGACATATACTAGAAAGACTCTTATTTCCAAGCATTTACTCACACGCTTTGTTGCAGAGAGAACCGCAGAGCTATTGAAACTATATTAACAAGAGTTATAGGTCAACAGAAGTAGCAGGTGTGAATGGGTGGACTAACCGTGTTTAAGCAAAGATAAGATCTTTGTCATTCGCTCCCTTTTGCCGTACTATGTTACAGAGAACAATTAGCTTCATTTCTTTATTGCAGATTATTCTTTTTCAATCATCATGGCTTTCACTCAACGTCTTGCGATTCATTTTCGTGATATACAAACGAATCCACCTCCATTATGTTATGCAGAACCTGAAGATCCCGGTAAAAGCATGATTCATTGGATTGGTTGGATCGAAGGACCACAAGACACCCCATATGCTGGTGGCAAATTTCGCTTGATTATCGACTTTCCTGCAGACTTTCCATTCAAACCACCTGTGATTCATTTTATCACACCAGTCTTTCATCCAAATATCAGTGTAAAAGGTGATATCTGTTTGGACATACTTCATTCACAATGGTCTCCTGCATTAACTATACGTGGTCTTTTGATATCATTATGTTCATTGTTAACAGATCCAAATCCAGAACATGGACTTAATAAAGACGCACTCAGACTCTATCGCACAGACCAGGATAGATACAATGAAACTGCAAGAGAATGGACAAAGAAATATGCAATGGAGAATAGTGATTAAAAAAACTGATATTTACATACGCTAAAAAACCAAAACTTCTAAGAAGTCATTTAACTTACATACATTATTTATTGTATTTCTAATCAAGGAAAATACGACGAGAGGAAAGAAAAAAGGAACAGTTTCATTATTAGGCAAACCTCTTGTATTTATCAATCAACTAGGAATAAAATGTTTTCTCTTCTGTATGAATACAAAAGAAACTGTCAGTAAATAAATAAACGAATGAATTCTGAGCATCAGACATCGCCAAAAGCAACATCTTTTCGTTTTACTTTATGTTCATTTAAGCTTATTACCTTCAAATGCCAATTATCTTCTGAGAAATCGAGTCTAGAGAAAAAAATATACTTCCAAGATGAATTAGACGTAGCTGATTCTGCTGGGAAGGTTTCAAAAAATGGAAGAAACTTCGAAGTAGCAGTAAAATGTTTGAATCCAATGGTCGAATTTTCTCATTCCTGGCAGGAAATGCCCATAATCGAGCAAAGCATATCGTAAAACCCGACTTTCAGTGAAGCTTTGAGTGTGGGTGGCTGCTAGTGGAGCAAGAAAAGTGACAAACGGCATGCATACCAACATTCATGTCATGCTTACTCACGGCCACACCACCAACCACACACGCACACCCAGTTCCACACACTCACACCGTCTGCACCCACCCCACAGGGCACCCTATCATTTCGTCCCCTTACACTACGTCCCATTCATTTCGTCCCTCGCTCATTTTCCCCCTTTTCATTTCGTCCCAAGTTCATTTTGTCCCAGTGTCATTTCGCCCTATACACTTCGTCCCAAACTCATTTTGTCCCGTTACACTTTGTCTCTACTTTTTTCATATGATTAGCTAACTTTAACGAAAGAGAAACAGAAAAGAAAAAAAAATTCACACTCAAATATTGTTCACCACGTAAAGCTGTTCTTCTTTACTATTTAATCGAGGAGCTACCGGGACTTATTGTTTTGGGATTTATTTCTTCTATAGGATTTATTAGGATTTATTTATTTAATGGGGATTTATTGGGATTTATTAGCTGCATCAGGATTTTCTTGCACCTTCACTCGACTGCTGCCCCCTTTGCCCTCACCCACAATTGCGTCTACATCCTCATCCTCACCATCGCCTTCGCCCTCACCCTCAAAATAGTGCGGGATTTATTTAAAAACGTATATAGATTTATTAAAAAATCCCCAAAAAAAATCCCGGTAACTGCTGATTTAATCAAGTGTTGCTATCTATACGACCGATGGGTGATATTGAAATTTTGAAGAGTAAAAGAGGAAATCCGATTGTGTATCATGGTAAGTTCGTGTACATGCAATACCGATTGACTGATGAAAAAAGTATTTTTCGATGCGAAAGCTGTGACCCTCACCCGCAAGATCTGGCCCGTGTGGCTGCTAACGTGAAACTAAATTCTTGAACTGTTATTCATTCTTCATTTTATTTAATATATTAAACGTAGAAGATCATAGTAAATGATATTGTATATTAAGTAGAATCGTCAGAAACGACTTGTCCGGTAGGACAAAGTGTAACGGGACAAAATGAGTTTGGGACGAAGTGTATGGGACGAAATGACACTGGGACAAAATGAATTTGGGACGAAATGAAAAGGGACAAAATGAGCGAGAGACGAAATGAATGGGACGTAGTGTAAGGGGACGAAAAGTAATGGGACGAAATGAGTGGCCACCCCCCACAGCACCTACACCCACACCCACACCCACATCACCTACACCCACAGCCACAGCCACACCACCCACACACTCGCATACACCCACACCACCCACACACTCGCACACACCCACACCCATACCACCCACACACTCGCACCCATACCACCCACACCCACACCACCCACACACCCACAACCACCCATACCCATACCACCCATACACTCACACTCATACCCCCAACACACTCACACCCACATCCATACCACCCACACATCCGCACCCACACCCATACCACCCACACACAGACACTCACAACCACCCACACACTCACACCCATACCACCCACACACCGACACCTACAACCACCCACACACTCGCGCACACCCACACCCGCTCACAACAACCCACACCCACACACCTGCACATACCCACACCCGATAGCTTTGACATCTTCGTGAAGTATGCTGATGTATAGTGAAGTACAGGTGAGCTAAGAAATTTTCAGTATTTCTCCATACCACACCTACACAATCTATACTTATACCGACAATAATACTCATATGCAAACATATTTAATTCAGATCCGCATCCAATTAATATCTTGAAGCATCTTCACTATGCATTCCTAGATCAAAGAGCAACTGTGCGCTTGCACGAGGAGAAAAAAAAGTTGATGCGATAATCGAAACGGCGTAATACTTTTGTCGTTCTTTACTATTTATCCAACTATTTACCTTTTGTTTGAAGTAGTGGCAATACATGCTTCAAGCTTTCAAATACAATGCTTTTTGATTGCAATGACTCAAAGGATCTTGTGTTATCAGTGCTCGCAACAGATCGTATGCAATGAAAACAACAGTCACATAACTCCTGCCTTAGTCTTTATCTCAAAACAAATATCACAGTATAAGCTGCGTTGTCTTATCTAGGCATACTTTTGATTTCACCAAAAAGCATATTTAACATAAAAGAAAAACACCGATTAAGTTCACAATTGGTTATTGTCAATTAAGTATCATATATTGATTGCTATTATTTTTTGTTTAGGTGATGCATTTATATGCTATTTTTCAAGCATTGTTCTGGTTGCTGACAGTTGAGAAATCGAAAGGAATCTCAAGTCCTATTCCACCATTTACTACATACAAGCATTCGACTGAACTCCAAGCGAATGTTGCCGATCTTTGGTGGACAATCGACGATGCCGAACGAGAGATTCTCTTCGAAATGCATGTCAAGACAACAGGCTGGATCGCTTTGGGTATCAGTCCAGGTAGAATATAATTCAAATTAAGGATTAGTCTCTTCGAATTTTCGCTTATTAATTAGCTGGTGGAATGACGGGCTCCGACATTGGCGTTGGATGGGTCGACAGAGCGGGAACTCTTCATTTTCAAGTAAGAATAAATCTTGTCCTGATAGATACATGAATGCTTTTGTAAAATACGCTTTGTAATTAGTCCTGAAGTAAACTGTGAGACCAATGGACTAAATCACTGCACGTATATTGTGGTAGATATATATTTATTATGCATGGTAACGGCTGACAAGGTTTTACGAGGTGCTGATTTTTGATTCGTTTAACGTAATGTAATAGACGTAGTGAAGTTACTCTATCGTGGTGACAGTGGCTCTATCACATTTTATATTTTAAGTCTATTTATATTACATTGAAGCCTTTTCTTGTAGGATCGATATGCACGTAATTTCTCGAAACCAAGCATAGATAGTACATCAACTGATTGGATTGGTCTCCGAGGTCGTGAAGAAAATGGATGGACAGCTATTCAATTCAAACGTTTGCTCGAAACATGTGATGATATGGATGTGTCAATCAAGGTATAAAATAAGCATATCAACAAGCAAGCTGAACTGTTAAAACTAGGATAATAAATTGGTTTGAGGTTTTTGAGTATGATCACCAATAAAAAGCTTTTGAGTCTAATTTTTATTTCATCAGAACTCAACAATAGCTTATTAGTGTTTTGAAGCAAACTTGATGAAAGCCCTTGACCAAATATTTTCACCAATCATGAATATTTTTCAAAACCTCGAACACTTATAGTTCTTTTGAATATTGTTGTTGGAATACTTATATTATGCTAACAAGATTATAATCCGACAGTGAAAAAATACAAAAAAAAAACGATATTTACGATGATGAAATATACATTAATAGGAATTTATTTGAATTGAATTGGTTCAAACGAACATTTTAATCAAGCAAATATAAAATATTTTATTTTTTAATTCAAGTCATATAATCAATTTGATGAAATTGTTCGTTTTAATTAATGAAAATGAAATACATTCATTTTTATGTTTGTTTCATCATACATAGTGTAATTTTTCGTGCTTTTGATGTAAAAATCATGAAAGTCATGACATCTTTTTTATTTTTCAAGTTATTGAGTAGTCTCCTGTCGATAATTCTTTTCTAAATAAAAAACATTTGCTATTGTTTATTTACCATTGCAAGTCGTTCTGCTATTAGTCATGAATCATCTTGACAAAAGGCCTAATTTAGCTCCTTAGATATTCTCGTAGTCATCATTAAAACGACCAATTATTTCAAGCATCCGGCAGGTACAATGGATTCTCATTAATCGATTGAAGATAAAATAAAGGTGCACTTTGTCTAGTGAATTTATCATGGTGTTTGTTAAAATAGAATTTCAAATTTTTCAATAACTAAGAATCACTGAAAATTCTTTTCCATTACAGACTGGAACCAATATTGTTATCTTTGCGTATGGTATTTCTGATCCGGATCAACGTCAATCGAACGGAGATATTTCCTATCATGAGAATCGACGAGGTACGCGCATGATTCCACTCCGCTCCTGTGATAATCCACCTTCAGAAAACAGATTCAATGGACTTGATTCGTTCGATTTTCGTCTAAATAATGTCAGTTTTTTTATTGAAGAAATCTCTAATGTAGAATGAATTATTTTGATGTCTTAGTATCTACTTTCATCAACCGACACAACTTACTATTGCAAAGTATTTAAAATTCCACCTCGTTTTTCAACAAAACGACATGCAATTGGTGTAAGTAGTTGTTCTATTGCCATATGTCATATTTCAGTAGTCTCATCTTTTGACAGTACAAAATACTTGTCGATCCAAGCAGTCAAGATATAGTGCATCATATGACTACGTATGAATGTGATGCAGCATCTAAGTTTGACGATTCCAAATTGCCTGAAGGTGTGTGTGATGATCATATCAATCAGTTCAGTTCGTGTTTGTCAAATATGGCCAATGGATGGGCAATCGGCGGTGATCATGTAAGATTACCAGGACGAATAAAGAAAAGAATTTCGATAATATTTATTCACTATTATATAGCTAGTAGAATATCCGCAAGATGTTGGCTATCCTATTGGCGGCGATTTTCCAGTTAAATACTATATGATTCAAATACATTTTGACAATGCTCATGTAGAAACGGGTATCATCTTTTTCTGGCAATGAACTGAATCATGTAGCAATCGATATTGTTTGTAGGCCGTCATGACAGCTCTGGTATTCAGTTTTATATTGGCGAAGAACTTCGTCAATATGATGTTGGCTATCTAACATTGGGTACAGAGTCAAATCCGGGCGCTATTGTTATTCCACCACAAGCAAGTGAATTTGTAGTCGACGCCTTTTGTACACCTAAAGCTACTGAAGTACAACAAATAATTTTAATCAATTTTGACATCTTTATTCTTTTTTGTTTGCTTTAGAACATTCCAGAATCAGGTATCACAGTCATTTCTGCCTTCCCACATACTCACTTGCAAGGTCACATATTTTACTAGATATTTCTCTTATTTAATACTTCACTTTTCAGGTAAAAGTGTATCGACAAAATTGATTCGAAATGATACGGCTGTGCAATATTTATTTCATGCCGAATCTTACAATTTCAATTATCAGTTTCTAAATAATTTACCCAAACCGATCACCCTTTATCGAGTGAGAATGAAAACAAAATATTGATTTCAATAAAATGCTTTCTTTTCTAGGGTGATGCATTTGTAACTCAATGTGTCTACAATACAATGAACAAAAAAGAAGTCACACTAGTAAAACACGATCTTTGTCTGTTCTGCCTTAAGAAATCGATGCATTTTAGGGTGGTCAAAAGACAACTGATGAAATGTGTCTTCAAACATTCACATATTATCCTCGGATGAACGATCTTTTTGTATGCGTGTCATCTTTGTCTGCTGCAGCATGGCTAACTGTGGCCAATAGCTCTTCGTAAGTTTGCCCAAATATTTATCTAAATAGTGAAACTTTACTTTTTCGTTCAGATTGGCTAATATTGAAGTATTTAAACAATGGTTGCATAGTATTCAATGGACGCCTGAAGCAGTTGCCAAATGGCAACTATTTCATAAGAACAGTTCGCGTCTTGTTCGTATCATTGGAGGTTCAACTTTCGAGACAGAATCACTCAACACCTTACCCACTTATCAAGATTTGATCATTACACCAAGGTGTAATACAGCTAATCGTCGAACAGAAACACTCCTTTTTCTTTTATTTATCCCATTATTAATGTCAATATGACATTGTCTTGTTGAATTTTGATAAACGGTTACATGAAGATCAGATGTGGTTTATCAATGGGCAATGACTCAGTATTATCAATTAAATGTCAAGGAATATAGTTACAACCATCACAATTGATGATGAATATCGTTCCTTCAAATTTATTTTCTGTGGGTCATAAACAAAACCATGAGTAGATGAAAGTTGTGCGAAAGCAGCTACGACCAGTTTGAGAGAAAAATCAAGACTGTAACTGTTATTGATTGTTTTCGTCAGAGACTGGCACACTTTATAATATACCCTTACGACGTTAATGCTGCTTATGATTGTTGATTGTCATTTTTCCTCGTATTTCACGTTGTCTATTTTATATATGATCTCTTGACCACTTATAAGCGTACCTCTAAACTATATTTCGTATTCTTTCATATGTGACTAATTGGTAGATGCTTGCTTATATAGAATTCACTTATAATAGGAGAGATCATGCATTTAGATATACAAAATTGAATCGATCAGATGGGTATGAATGTTGTTTGATGACAACAATTATTATTAATACAATAACAGAGATTATAAGATGTAACAGACATACTAGGGTGTGAAGTGTGGGCGGGCGAAGGAAAGACTCACAGCCACACTTGCTTTACACCCTAAGTAAGATGTTTTTTTATATTCATCTGACCAAATATCACGTGACAGCAACAGTCGACGCTCTTGACCTGCCAAAATCAAAATATTTTTTATTTCATTTCCACTTAGAGTATATATTTCTCTATTTTATTCTGTAATTATCCTTTGAAAAGATCAAACTGAGAAAGGAGACACTAGATCACACATGAAGTCTAGAATATTAAGAAAATATATATACCTCTAAAGTGGTTATTATTCTTTACAATTAATTATTTAATCGTTAAAAATTATATTGCGGCTCCTTAAGGAATAATATCGAAAATGACATTGGGTAAATAATATTCTGTTTAGCTCAATATTCATAAGAGTATGTTATCTTTTCCTAAATTCATTATGACAACGATTTTTTTTTGGGACATCCTACATCTTAAAAGGCATTCAAGGTACTCAAATGAATCCACAATAGTCAATTGTGACCGAAAAACGCTGGAAATCGATGGAATGTAGAAATACTATTTGGAGTCGAGATGTCATCAACAAAATTCGAAGATATGCCAGTCCGCAATATACGATGAGTGCGACGAGCGCACGAAAATTTCAAAAGTATATTTTTTGTTCGTTCTGTTTTGATTTCGAGCCGTTCAACAGTCATCGGATTCTGACCACTCGAAAGCTGTATCCAATCGGATGTTCATTTTCGATCTCTCGAGTACTTTTAGACCCAGCGATACTCATCGAAGTTTCGAATACTTGAGACAAGATACATATCGGAAGCATAATATGGAGTGCTCCATTAGAAGTAAGCCGAGCAGAATAACAGTTTCAAGTGATTAGGTTAATATTGTTTTCATGAAAATTCTTCAAAAAATGATTTACAAACGTTTCTTTCATTGAACTACCTTAGCAAGGTGATTTATCTTTGAAATATACTTTCCTTAGTTTCATCATTTTCATCCAAAAGTTTGACATCAACTGATGCAAAATGACAAGTAAAACTGGAATCTATAAGCAATTTTGGCGAAAATATAGCCATAACGAAATTAGCATCTTGAATGACTGATTATTTTTTAAATATTGATTTTATACCTTATCACATAAATCAATTATTTATCAAATAAGCTCCTTATTTGGCAACCGAGGCTAAAAGCAGAGCTATTTCTATAGTCAAGCACACGTGAAAAATGTTTTTTATTCGATTAAAAAGTTTTTTATTAAATGTTTGAAAACAGTTTGCAAATGTTGAAATAACAATCTTGAAATTACTATCGTTCTAAAAATTGACAAGATAACTTTCATAGAAGAACAATAATTCATATTCAGTGTAGATGTTCGACCAATGTTAGTCAAAAGTACTGATTTCCGAATCTCCTCCTGACGACTCAAGAATGAGGCATCTCTAGGAAAAATTCGTTTTATTTTAATCAAAGTTGACCTCCTTCGGTAAAAATGGTTCGACTGATTGAAAATTCAGCGCTTTACTGACTTATTGCTGAGTCTTTAACCTATTAAAAACTATGGTCGCTTTAGTGTTAAATTTTTTTATCTTTAAGATTGAAGATCAGAAAGATGATAGAAACGTGTTGTTCAAGACTTGAAACAAAATGACCATGTATCAGCATAATATCTATTAGTTAGATGAATAAATGCAATACGAAATTTTGTTGGAAACAAATTAACTATTTATATCATTTAATAGCTTCATATGTTGTTTTTGACTAGCCCTTAAATCTTCAAAAAAGCTATGATAATGTTTAAGTAGCTGATCCCTTTGTCACAACTTTTCGTTTATTATAACTAGTTATTTAAAATCTAACACTATTTTAATCTTTAGTTGCAGTATATTCTTTGAAAAAAGTATCTCTTTTGAGAACCTACGGTTCAATCGAATAACTGTTTAAAACATTTTTCATGTTATACTTTAGAAACTGGACTAACAAGTGTCCTGCTGGAAATTTTCCCCGTACCTGAGCTTCTTAAACTCACTACATTGACTATGATAATTATAGTAGTCAGAAACTCAGAGGATGAAGGTTGTCAAGCGGTGCAATCAGATCTCGGTCAAACTTCGATTTGTTTTTCCTATTGTATCAATTTGGCTATCAAAGAGCTATTCTCATCGAAATCAGACTATTTCATACCTTACGAACTGCATGGAAATCGATTTACTTTTATTCATTATTGTATTTAGTCAATTTCTATATTGGATGCTAACTCTTTCGTTTCTCTACTCAATGACTTATAAATATGTTAGAAAGATTGTTCTATCACCATGTTTCATATAGTAGCGTGATCAATACAATATACTGACCTATTAACAATGATCGATTAACAGTTTTTTTCTAGATATGATGATCCACTTCTAATTGTGTAGCAATGGATAGATCTACCGGAGACCTATCAAATGATACCAAAACAGTTTAGCATATACCAGTTGTTGTCTTATCACTAATGATTGCTTGGAAACTATAAGATGTACTACAGCACTCTAGTCCTTGATTCTGAAAGAAGCACTTAGCATTTTTTCTTCTTGCATACTCTTAGATTCACTTCGATTTAATACGTATGCTCAATGAAAGAGATTTTTTTTCCAAACAGTAATATCAGTCATTTAATGTCTTCGTACGTGCTAGTAAATGAATGATTACCATTAATAATATCCATCTCTGTATTCATCAATCACTTATATTCTTATTTAAAGTATCTTTTCCAAAACGCGTCTTTTCTGATCATTCTTCTAATATTTTCATGTCATCAAGTTTTATCGCAAGAAGACTGATTGAAAGATATACAATACGGAATCAGTTATCAATCCACAAAAGAGCCATAGAGGTGTACGTTTACATTTGCAATGCTTCATATTCTTTACATTAATGCTTTACTATACTGTTGAATGATATGCACACTTCCTCACCTTTTCTTCATACAGATTTTGATGCTACTTCATAGATCTCGATCATATCTATCGATTAGTACAAAATCAATCAGGAGTAGATAACCATCATTATATCCAACGAAATTATGATACAATGAATTGAAGGCGAATAAAGAGTTATCGCGGTATCAATTAATTAATAAACAGGAAAGATAATATGACAATGAATAAGATGATAAAAAAGAAATGACAAGAGGAATGTAAAGAAGTAAATAAGGGAGTAGACTGAATAGGGTAGTTGAAAATAAATGTAACAGTGAAGAAGTGTAGGCAATGACAGATGAATAATGAATTAGGCATCGTACTAACGAGAAATGAATAGCAATACTAAGAAAACATGAGTAAAAAAATTGCAAACATGAATACATGTACACACAAGAAGAGGCCAGAGAGTATATATAACGACTGTTACGTCACATTCTTTGTCAGACAGGTTTTAGTCTAAGAAGTGTATGATTATTTGAATACATGTTTTGTAGAAACACCTTGCCGAATTGGAATAGCTACACAATATTTATTTCATCGACATTTATGACAATAGGACAGATTGTAATCGGCGCGATGCAAGACTTCGTGCTGTTCAGCAAATAAAGCCAAAGTAAGATATCTTAATCCAGCATC